CGAGGACAGGCATGTCGTGTCCAGGCTAGGGCTGTACTATATGACCTTGTCCTTGTGGCTAACATTCAGTTCTCTCTCTTCTAATAAATCTCAGGTTCTGAGCTTTGAAAGAGGGTGAGTAGAAACTTTATTATACTGAAATATCCAAAGTATCTAAACTCTTTCTACTGAAATCCTTACTCTTTCCAGAGCCTGAATGTTCATCTTCTCCTAAGATGCAGTGAGATATATTAACATCATTTGAATATATTTTCTTTTATGCCTAAATAAGCCAAAGTAGGTTTCTGTTATTTGCAACCAAAAGAAATAGCTTAACACAATGTTAAAGCAAACTAGGGCAGACATGGTGGCTCACTCCTGTAATCCCAGCACTTTGAGAGGCCAAGGCAAGAGGATTGCTTGAGCTCAGGAGCTCAAGACCAGCCTGGGCAACATGGTGAGACCTTGTCTCTATTAAAAACAAGAAAAGCAAAGCTAATTTAATTGTTAATGTAAGTTGGTTGGGACTTAATCATATGAATCTCCCTTGGACTGTTCCAAGATGTTTTAAGTCTTGTTACAACACAATTCTAAGGATTTCCAAACGTCATAACTCAGAGTTACACAAGTTCGTATGACCCCACTGGCATTAGATAAAAAGTATATACTTAAAACTTTTTTTTCAAAAGCATGTTAGACCTCGAAGCAACCTTAAGAGATTCAGTCAGTTCAAACCACTAATTTCAACACACTAACGTTACCACCTCCCTCACTCCTCTTCCCTTTACACTAAAAGGTTTGCTCAGTACTTGAGAAACTTCTTCATGCCTTTCTGTAATAAGAGTTCCTTTATCCACACATCTAACTTTTCACAGAGTGCTTAGTTGCCCAATTTGGCAAATAAAAAATACAGGACACTCAATTAAATTTAAATTTCATATCAACAAATAGCTTTATAGTCTGCCTCAAATATTGCATGATTACTAAAAAAGTATTCATTGTTTACCTGAAATTCAAATTCGACTGGACATACTGTATTTTACCTGACAACTCGTTCTGTGGAGCTGAAACAGCTGCCCAATGAGATTTATTGATTACAATAACAAGCAGTAAATTCTGAAAAAGCTTTAGTCAGCTACTCAATTATGACATAAATCTTTAGTGCTAAAGGGAAACTTGGAAACAACTAATGCAATGCTCTCACTTTAAAGATCAAGGAAAGATGAAGTGACAACTGGGAGGAACATGACACCAAATTACAAATGACCAGAAAGATTCCTAACTTTCATTTTTTAAAAATTATTTGTAAAAATCCACAAGAGAAAAGGAATTAGGATGTGAAAAAACAAGCAAAGTTCATGGCTCCGAATAATGTTCACGTACCTATCATCTCAAGTCCTTCCATGTTAGTAAATGTCAACCAATAAAGCTAAGCAACAACTCTAAAAAAGTGACCAGTTAGAGATCTCTTTTAAATGGGATGATTTAAGTAAATAAGATTATGTATATATGCCGGGCGTGGTGGCTCACACCTGTAATCCCGGCACTTTGGGAGGCCCAGGTAGGTGGATCACTAGGTCAGGAGTTCTAGACCACCTTGACTAACATGGTGAAACCCCATATCTGCTCAAAATACAAAAATTAGCTGAGCGTGGTGGTACATGCCTGTAATCCCAGCTACTCAGGAGGCTGAGGCAGGAGAATCACTTGCACCAAGGAGGCGGAGGTTTCAGTGAGCCAAGATCACACCACTTCAACTCCAGCCTGGGCAACAGAGTGAGACTTCGTCTCAAAAAATGAAAAAAAATAAAGATTATCTATATAAAGCACCTAGCATAAAAGCTTAGCCTGTGAGAGGATCTCTAAGTGTAGTTCCCTTCTCCTACTGGCTCATCTGTTTCTCAGTCTTATACTAAAATATAGCTCCCTACCTATTCTGACTGTCTCCAAACTCTATATGCCATCCTGAACTTTCAGATCAGAACAGCAGCCCCACTATATCTTGTTAAAAAGCATTACAACTGGCTGGGTACAGTGGCTCACGCCTGTAATCCCAGCACTTTGGGAGGCCGAGGTGGGTGGATCATTTGAGGTCAGGAGTTTGGGACTGGTCTGTCCAACACGGTGAAACCCTGCTTCTACTAAAAATATAAAAATTAGCCGGGCATGGTGGCACATGCCTGTAATCCCAGCTGCTGGGGAGGCTTAGGCAGGACAATCACTTAAACTGTGGAGGCAGAGGTTGCAGTGAGCCAAGATCACGCCACTGCACTCCAGTCTGGGTGACAGAGTGAGACTCCATCTCAAAAAAAAAAAAATTACGATTAATAAACAATGGTAAAATATTCAGTCTCATTAGACAGCAAACAATTGACGAATAAAAAACTTCTAAGTCAAATCACCTAAAGTTCACCAAACAACACTTGTTGAGTCATTAAGAGTACATATTAGGGGTATAAACTAAGCACTTAGCAATATAGAGTAGAGAAGACATCATTTCAAACTGCAATGTTCAAAAAACTATAGAAGCAGCAAGATTTAACCTAGAATTTGAAGGATACATATTATTCTGATTGGTGAAGGCAGAATGAGGAAATTTCATGTAGAAAGAGCTACATGAATGAGGGCATAAAAGTTGAGAAAAAATGCTTTATAATCTAGCCTCAATTTTTCAACTTTTTCTTGCCATTGTGCCCCAATAGGGACACAGATGCCCATCAAGTGCCCTAAAATATGTACAGTGTAAGTTTTCTAACACCATTACCTTTGTTCAGGCCACTGCTTCCCTTAACATCAGGGAACAAGTCTTGTACAACTCTGCAGCCCTTATGTCACTTGCACAATACACATAATATGAGCTAAACCAAGGTTCATCCTTCTTTCAGCCTTTCCCTTACTTCATTCATTACTCTCTCCTTCTAATCCTCCTAAGTGACCAAGCCAAAGGATTTCATAATTTTATTAATATTCGAAACAGACAAGTAGAATATTCTTTAAAAAGTTTTAACTTAAATCCTTGAAACATTCCCCCATTATCTCTCTTCCTGCCACCCCTTTCTACCCCTTCTCCCCAAAACCTCTACTTTCCACTCCAAACTCCCTTTCCCCTTTGGGTTTGTGATTCTGTATGGGAAAACGTTCTCCTCCCACTTTAGATTTTTAAAACAGAGGAATGATACCAGAGACAGACTTACTTTTCACCTATTTGAAACTTTCCCTCCCAAATAGAACATCATAAGGTTTTGTGTTCTTTTTTTTT